CCATAATGATTCTGTGATTCTATGATTTTTGCAAGGTCAAGTGAGTGTTGTCAAAGCAGATATTACATAGTGAACTGCTTCAATTAGTCTCTTTCCTACCAGCATCGGCTTTTCTAAGTAAGACTGTATGAAGAAAAAGGCTGGAGTCCACAACAGGGTTTCAGACACTCTCTTAAAAAGTGTTTTGTTTTATTTTCTCCCTACTTCCTAATCTGTAATTCTAGATGTATCAACAAGACAAGTGTTTATGGAGTTGTTGTGAAGACTTTTCATAGACTTGGATATGTTTGGTCCGTGGTGATGAATCGAGCAGCTACAGAACACCAAGTCAGCTGGTGAAAATACGTCAGCAGGACCAATTTTGCTGTCACTGCATCCTAACATCCCAACTAAACAAACAAATCTTTTTGTGGGGTTTCCTTTACCTTAAGCTATATTAAAAAAAAAGTACATTACAGTGGATGTAACTGAAAATGTAACAGTCACCTTTGTGCTAGCACTTGGCTTTCAAGAACCGGTCTGAGAGGTTCAGTATTATATACCCGCCCTGCTCACCCAGTCCCCACCAGTATAAAGGAGAAAAACACTTCTCTCCCTGTGATAGGTATCACTGGAAGTAACAAATGTGAGTGAGTAAGGAAATGTATGCAAAGTTTTAATTCATTAAATGCTGTTTTGTGGGAGAAGAAAGATTTTCACCCCTTTAACAACCTGTGTGTGAAAGAATGTTACTTGGCTGTGATAGAGTTATTGCCGAAACTTCCTTAGATTTTGGAAGTTTCAGGTTTTGTAATCATTCGTTCATAGCAAACAGGGAAATTCAGCATCTCTGTGTTTCCAACTTGCTCCCAAGTGAAGCACAATTATACAAAAATTAATTAATTGTTCAAAACTGTTCCACCATAAATAACTGAGGAATCATATATAATTATGATTTGCAGTATTTTCTCAAAAATTTGTTTGCTACTACTTATTTGACTTTGGGTGACCCTCATTTCAGAGGATTATAAAAATATCATTAAATAAGCACCTTACTTCATACCTATTTTGTATTTCACACGTACAGTATTAAAACTTCCTTCAAAATCCATACTTTCATCCCAGCCCACAAAATGTCCCTCAACAGTTTTCCTAAATATTAGTGAAATTGAAACTCTGATCCCTCAAGGCATCAAAAATCTTCTTATGTTGTCCTTGAAAATTCACCATCAGAAATACATTTCCTGAACCTCCAGCGTGAGGAGGTCTCTGCTTGAAATCCCACTTAATAAACAGGATGGTATGTTTGACACCAACCTGAAGTTATTGAATAGTTTACAGCCCCAGGTAGGCTGTGGCAGACATCAAAAGCTGTGTCTATGGCTGAGGGAAGTGGTTCAGCTTCTCAGCTAGGGAAAAAAGCTGGCAGCTGCTTTTTTCAGCACCAGCCTGAGGTCTTCAACATGAAAATGAAATAATGGGGGCTTGACATTTTCTCGTGCCCTGTTAAACTCTTGCTGAGTCTCAAAACTTTTTATTTTCTGCACAGCATTGGCTCTTTTTTGTTTTTAGCCAGCACCATGTGGGCAGCCTCCTGCACCCCGAGCACCTCGGTGGGGCTCTGCCAGTTCACCGGCAGGCGTCGGCGGAGTCGGGAATGACGGTGCAGGCAGAAAGCTTTCGTCAGTCCTCATCTCCACTGTAGGCACAGAGCTGGTGTTCAGCTGCCTTTGGGGTTAGAAAGGAAAGACACACAGAGAAGTCTGGTATATTGACAGGGGTGATGATGCCAAATGTTGGGGTTTGGTGGTGGTGGGTTTGGGGTTTTTTGTTGTTTTGGTTTTGTTTTTCAATTGACAAAGTAGTGATCTTCTCTTGTGATCCCAGAATCAGGTCTCTGAGACTTTAACATGCGTGATCTTTTCCGAGAATAGAAATAGTGATTTAAAATGTACTAGTTATTCAGCAAACCTGCTAACTATAGAAGCAAAGATTTTACAATATGCATCCACTTGACTTACACTGAGATGCAAAGGCAATACACTAACATCCTCCACTGATCCATAAGTCCCGTGCACCAGTTGTTTTCCAGGTCTTGTCGCTGCCTCGCTTCTTGACTTGTTCAGTTAGTTTCATGCCAGTATTAGCTTCGTCTGTTGGGCTGAAATAATGGATTGGGGGGCACTGGGGAGGTGTTACACCCAATGCAGCGCTCTGCCTAGCATCGCCCTGCCAGCCCTCGGCCGCAGCGAGGAGCAGGGCCAGCGGGCATCGCGCAGGGGAGGCTCCTGGGTTCTTCTGCTCCACGGGGAGCCAGGGTTGGGGCCAGGAGAAATAGACTCATACAACCATGACTGAGATTATTATTTAATGAATAAGGCAGGTTTTAAGTTCTTTGGGGCCTAGATCATCCTCCTCCTCTGTGCTCGTACAGAGTGTTAATTCCTGATAGGAGTTTACAGGAGTTGCCATGATACAAATAAATAACAATATCTGATTCTTCTGGCCCTCTTCCCCTTCCTTTTTTCCACTCGTCCTGTGCCTTTGCACAGTGAAGACCTTCTTACCAGCTAACTTGAAAGTTTTCTGGGTTAACTTTTTAATTAAATCCAAACCAAGCATGCTTTTCAAGCTATTTTTCAATTCTTACTACTTATCCATGCACCTCTTCCATACATGTTTTGACCTGAGGCCCAGAAGCCACCTGCTATTTTCCTTTCAGCCTGTTGAGTACTTTCCACTGGATATACCATGCTGTTTCCATGTAATCTTTAAGACCTCAATCAAAACAGAAGCCGTGCTGAGATTATGGAAAGAGATGGTACTTTCAGCACATGATTTTCAAAGCCGCGTCATCAACGTGCCATTTGTGGTTTGTTTTTGTGTTTGTTTTTTTTTCTCCCATTTTCCTTCAGAAAAACCATCCACAATGCTGTTCCCTGTTTGAGGTTCCTAATACGAATATCAAAGAACGACCTTCTCAGAGGCTCCATAAATGAGTCGTCATTCAGGACATCTCTCTCCAGCCATCAGTCTCTTGCTGGCAGGACCAAGAGCACTTGCGTTTCATCAGTTTCCACTGGAGAAGCTGTAAGTCTTTTCTTGTTTCCATGAAGGGAAGAGAGTATAATGTTTCTCAGAGTCCCAAAATAAGCAACTCTAAAAATACATATTCAAAGTTAGAGAATGGAAAAGGCGGGCAGGGGGTCGTAGTGAAATTTTTGGGGTCATGCGAGGTGTTTTCTGCAAAGCCTTTCTGGGAGTTCATGCGTGATTATTTCTGATCAGAAAAAGCATCCAGGCCAGCATATCTGCGTGGTTCAGATGCTTACTGGGACCATGGATGTTCAGGTTAAGCCATTAATGTGAATTAAAAAGAGCCATTGTCAGGCACTCCCCACATCACCAGCCACCTCCTACAATTCAGTATCTGAAGGGGCTGCAGGAAAGGAAAGCAGTCTCCCATCCAAAGTTTTCTAACCTATCAAAAGCTGTCTTATTATTTTAAAGGAAGTCCATTTTCTGTAGGACAGGAAACTTTTTGATTTGTTTCCCTGGATTTTAACCACGAGGAGTGGAAGACTCCTGCACCTGGAGCGAGGTGGGGTGTTCTGTAAGCAGGGTACTCCAAGTCTCAGTAAGACCGGTGATTGAGGGAGTTAGAAATAAAAGGATCCCTTGGGATTCTTCACAGCCCCTCTTGGCATGGCCTCGCCTGCCTCTCAAAGTCACAAGAAGCTGTCCTTGCTCGCAGAGGTGGCTCCTAGGGAGTGATGGCAGCCGTGGCAGGGGCCGGCTGGGGCTGGCCATCCCGGGGACCCGCGCTGCTCCGCGCTCAGCTCGGGCATACGAAACCTCCCGGGGTGACGGCTGCAGTCGGTAACCTTTCCCGAAGGTATAAATCACTGTGACGGGCCGAGTGGCAAACTCTTGGCTCTCCCTTTGAGTCAGGTGGCCGCGGTCTGAGCAAGGATGGGGCTGGGTTATCCATGTGCCGTAGCCTGCAGGCTGCTGCTTTCAGGGTGCTGTCGCTGAAATTCAGGCTGTGGAGCTCAATTTCAGTGAGATTGTAACTACGCTGAGTATTTTGGGAAGACTGAGGTCCTTGATTTGGAAATGGACCTAGGACCACCAGGACAACCAGCATGAACAGTGCACTGTTCTCAAATAAGATAATTTTGCACTGAATTTTCTGCTGGAGAATGGAAGTTGTTCCTTGCAGGCAACAGCACCGGGGAGATTTCTGAACTCTTTCATGGCAGATAGACAGTAAAGCAAACACACCTGAGCAAGAAACGCACTGTTCACTGGGAAACCAACCAGTCCCCACCAATGCTAGCACAGTGCCCAGGGTGCTGACAAGAAATTCAGGCCTTCTGGCTGGGAAATCAAAAAACAGGACCAAAAAAAAAAAACCACTTTAAAAGTGCCTGAAGGGAAGGCTCACTGCCTGAGCCCTAACGAAACAAACTCTATCATCCCCTTGGAGAAGACAGGTTACGTTGCAGTCCATGCCGCTGCCCCTCTCGCACATCAAGCATACAGCTGCACCAGGCAGACCCCCAGATGAAATGTCGAACTGCGCTTTACTGGGTAGCCTCAGCTGGACAGCTGGTGGGTTGTGAACTGCCTGGGGACACGGATCCTCCTCCACTTTGTGACTGTGTATCACGTAGCCCAGCAGCATTCCCAGCTATCACTTAACAGCCTACAGGTTGCTGTATTACAGGCAGGTAATAATGACAATAATTAGACATCATGAAATCTCTTAAATGGGGCATGTTTTGTCATTCCAAATTAGAAGGTGTTTAAATACCATGCAATGGACAAGCTACTTCTGAGGAGAGACCTTGTCTAGAATTGACAAGTTTTTCTATAGTGTTTCATAAAATATGTCTACCATAGAATTTATTTTAAATTAAAACAATAACTAGAAGAGCAAAAGGCTTCTCTTAGCCTGGGCAAAGCCTTTTTTAGCCTACTGTTGTTCAGATTTGAGCCCAAGTGAATTTGAAGTATTTAATGGGACTCCTGTGGAGTGTGACGGTACTGTACCACACTGCACGGCATGAGCATCCCCAAATTTGCTTGCCTAGGATCCCACAGTCTTCAGGGCACGGGGAACACTTTCATGTTTATCTCGTTGCTGCTATATTAGGGCAAAAGACCTTAATGAGGTAGAAAAAAAAAAGAGTGACTCATGTTGTATGGGCTATGAAATTTAGTGTTTGTCTTGGATCTTGCAGATACAAATAAATGCATAAATATGTCTGTTGCAATGTAAATGAAAATGAGATCATCTGTCCTGCTGATTTAATTCCATTCACAGACCACTGACTACACAATGATGCATGAGAGTATCAACTGTGATGATTTTGTAAACTGTAAAATACCAAGATTATCCTTGCAACATGAGGTTAGTATATGCAACATGCCAATATCCTATCACAAAAAAAAAAAAAAAAAAAAAGAGTATATTGTGTTTGGGATTTCTTGACACGTTGAGCAAACGGAGCACCACACATATCTGAATCCCCCTTGAGATCATGGGGATAGTTGTCTGCTTACACTTGTGCTTCATTCCCTGGTTGTAGATAGCACGTGTAGCAACGTGGAAATGTGTTGACATAGTTTAAAACAGGGAGGCTCCTCATTTACTTATTACACTTTTTTGCCCCTTTTACCTTTTAATTTTCCTTGACTTAAAGTTTATTCCTAAATTCTCTCCCCATCAATCCTTTGTTTGATGTCAAATGAGGTCATTTCAGCTGGATCACCCATTCTGATCCAAGAAGCTTTCTGTTCTTCACCGTTGGTCACTACTTGGTTTTGGTTCATCGGGGTTAGCAGGTTATTGTGTGTGTTTGGTTGGAGTTGCCGTTTAAAGAGGCGGGATAATGTGGATAACAGGCTTCAGCCTTTGGCACAACTTTGGTTTAGGAGCCTCAAATAAAACACCTGCTGTTAGCGATGCGGAGCACTGTGTTGCGCCAAGTTGCCGCAGCCAAAGGTAATTGTCCCTGGGGCAACTGACGGCTCAGTGCAGCTGTACAGATTTTCACTGAAACAGCAGCTGCTGAAATAAAAGCTAAGCTCGATGACTCTCGCATGACAGCAGGACTGAGCGAAATTTTGGAATGCTCCAATAAAGTATTGATGGGCAGGAATGACACCAGCAACACTGTAAAAGACGCAGCTGTTGCCACCAACATTTTCCTCTGTGTGTTGTGTACATGTTAGTGTAGGGAGCCAACATATTCCCGAGTCATATAAAGCTGTATTTACGGTTTGATTCTACATGGGGGGAGAAATAAACAGGTGGCAATACGTCGATGTATCAGCAAGGTGATGCAGTGGAATTATACACTAGCTTCCCACTTGTGTGGAGCCCTATTTGTCTACCTGTCCGTATCTAAAAGCTGATGTGGAAAATAGTGGAACGATCTCATCATTGATACTCAATCAAAAAGTGACCACAAAGTTAGGGATGGTGGAAGGCCTCCACCCAAGGCTGTAAATGGAATGGCATGGTTGCGGTGTCACGATTGTGCTCCGTTACTGGCACGCTCTTAGAAAATTAGTGCAGAGCCCGCTCATTGCCTCTCATCCACTAATGAGAGCTCAGAGGAGAAGCAAACTCATGGGGCTTGAGAAGCCCTGGGTGTTCCAGGTATCCAGCTGGGATGTATACAAATGTGGGTTTGGACTTGTCCATGTCCATGGTGTTGTACCAGCTGATGGTCATGCAGAATGCCATAAGCCGTATTAAACAGATTGGTTGTACTTGCTCCCATCTTTAGACGTCAGGTGCTGTGCAGCTACAAGCATAGCACAAGCAATGAGATAAAAAAGAGTGAAAAACACCCCGGTGAAAAGAGATAAAATAATTTTTCATTATTTCCAAGATTTTTTTTGTTGTCGTTCAAAAAAAACAGTCCAGGGTAAGCGATGAGATTAAAAATCAAACCTCTCCCCAGGGCAGTTTTGAGTGTGAGACCTGTGTTAGAACAGCTTTAGTTTTCTGTAAGCGTGCATGGTTTCTGCTAGAGTTTGAGAACTTTTAGAAATTGAGAAAGGGTGTAACTGTCTGAAATCCTTCCTCATTTGTGATTAGACCTGGAGCGATGTAAAGCTTGACCCTGTAGAGCCAGCTCATAGGAAACTGCAGCCTCGCCGAAGCCATTCTTTCTCAACAAGTCGGAGACAGGAGAAGAGAGACCTGCTCCCAAAGACCTGCAGCTGCGATGCAGCAACTGCAGAGAAGGTAAGGGGAAAAGTCTCTGCTGGGGCTGCTCCATTTTAGTGTTAATCTTGCTACGGTATATCACCTCTGGAATACTAATTCAGCCTTTATACCCCTTTGTTTCATCTGTAGGTTTTATTTATGCTGATTCCAATGTCCTCTTCATCCTTGCTGTTATTTCTCTTTTTGTGATGAATGAGAGTGCCAATAATGCCTTATTATATTTTTTTCACTGATATGTTGCCTGTTTTTGGAAAGCCAGCAGCAGCTTATAGCTCTAAAGCTGCGTTAAAGCACAGTCAGTAGCATCAAATGTAAGAAGTTGACTTCTTTGCCTCTTTGCCTGTTTATCTACCCCAGCTCTGGTTCCTCCCATCCTGATCCTTGTGTCTACATTGTGGCAGCCTCCTTTTATTACAAAGTCAGGGCTGCAAACCTGAGTTTGACATATAGAAGCCACCCCTTTTCCTTCTTTTCAGTGTACATTAAAATGTTTTATTTTTGTTGAGGGGGAAGATGAGAAAGAAACTCCTGTTTCTCCCTAAGGGTGGGAGAGTCTGGCAGCTGCCACCCTTCCCTCACTGAAAGAGGAGATGGTGAGTACTCAGCGCATCCTCTGTGGATGCATTACGCTCGTTGGCCAAACCGCTGAGATTTGGCACCATGCTGTTGAGGAGCACTCCGTTCACTGAGGAACTGCTGAGGATGGGAGCAGTAGGTCACCCGCGAGTCAGCTTCTGCCAGAACCCTAACACCAGGTTCAAAAGGAGTATTTGTATGGGTGGCACAACATCCAGCATATATCAGTGCTGCATTTTCAAGAAAAGATAGACATAGGCTTACAGTCTGTGGCTGGAATGAGTGGCACCCACTTTTTTGACGGAGGCACCCTTTCATGGGGTTACTCTACTGTGTATAACCAAAAACTCGCACCTTGGGCAGCTACAGCATCTGCTTCTGTCCCCTGTGCTCCCTTCCAGCTCCGAGGCCAATTGTCTAGAGAGAGCGTATTTAAAGCAGGATCTGTTCTGGAAATTTCCAGCCATCCGATGACCCGGTTCCTGCATGCATCTGCCCTGTCTTCTTTCATGTGTCTCCTTAAGATCAAGTCCTGAGAAACCTTGTTTTTCTCCTGTAACTGTTTGGAATAGTATTGATGGAAAAACAATGGCTTCAAACATGGTGGCAGGCAACACGGGCACAAATCTACTGCCCACCTCCTCTGCCCTCCATCAGTAGCCCAGTGCATCCAAGGTTGTAGGCAAGTGGCAAAGATGAGACACTGCCTCCAGATTCTGGAGAACCATCAGCTTTCGGTCTGACAAGGAAGGAGAAGGAAAATAAATCTGAGGTGGTCTGCATAAAAGCGTCCAGTAATTACATAAATTTTCCTGTATACTAGAATTTAGCAACTGCATAGCCCACAAGAAGGCTCCGACGCTGTACTTTGTCTTTGAAAGACATCTGTTGGATTATTTTGATAAATAACCTTCAAACAGGGTACCTTCATGCTGAAGTTTACAGTGGCATTCACTGAGATGCATGGAATTTGTTTACATTGAATGTTCAAAGCCTCATTTGCTTTTCTTAATATTTTCAGCGAAGATTCCTGTGTGGTGTGAAGGGCCTTTGTGTGTTAGCTAAATGCAATGCATCAATATTCATTCTAGCAGAATAAACACTTATTTGTTAAGCTCAGTTAGTGTGTTTTGGTCTGAGGCCACCCATTTATCCTTAAAAAAACCCCAACCAACTAAAGAAAACCCACTGCTTTTTTAGATATTTATTTTAAGGTTTTAATAGCATCACCGGGCTGTGTCTATGCCTGAATT